TTCCCACTGCAGATTAGCATCTTCAGACATCAGATTTTTAAATTCACTAATCAGTCAATCTTCAATCATTGCCACTAAAGTAAAAATTGTTGTTAGGAATAAATTAGTTAATTTAATATCATATTATATTGCTCTGGTGGTTAGATATTAAGCATTTTTTGCCTGTTTAGAACAATGCCTGGTTTGCTATTCAGATTCAGAGTTATCTAATACAGCTTCTTTTTAAACTTATTTTACTATTATTACTTTAAAGTTGAATTTCCAATTGGCTGTTAGAGAGCAAGAATTATTTTGTATAGTCCTCAGTGGGTACCCCAGAGGAGCCCGAGGCCTACCGACTGCGGCTGCCACGTGGCTCTCTATTCAGGGAGGGGAAAGGAGGAGGGTGCGCACAGCCTATAGATGAGTGTAATGAGGAAGCCTTTTCACAGACTGCTGCTATGAACAGTCATTTTCTGGTCCTAACAGTAATGAAAGTACTGGAAATAGATGTGATTTTTTTTTTTCATATTTTATTGCTGAGTTTAGTTATTCTGTATTTTACCTTCAAATATTTAAGTAAGAGATGTTAGCAGTAGGACTGCTAAGTGGCATGGCCAGACTCTTACTAGTGCTTCAAAATTCCCCATGGTGTAGTTAGAGATCATCATTCTTGCTTTCTGCTGCCTAATTTATTTTTTGCGTTTTTTGCCGTCCTATCCTTTATTGGGTACATGTGCCATACGTATACTGTTTTATATTATAGTTTAATTTTACGTATCATATCTCCCCTAACCAGAATGTAAACTCCTTGAGGAGAGTCCAAAACTTTTTTTGTAATTCCCCTTGGTACATGGAACAATGCTTTCCATATAGTAGACATTCAGCAAGTTTTATTTAGTAATAATGATTACTTGGTTTCACCAGTTATGAAGGTACTATTTTCCTGATGCCTGTTTAGCTTAAGTAATGATAATATTTCTTTCATATTTTACATATGTATAATTGAACATTTTAGCAATTTTGTTATTCAAGCTCTTGTAAATTAATTCAAGGATTGACTATATTAATGTATGTTTCTACATAGGGTGTCCTCTTGTTTGATCTACTTGAATTGAGATAATTTTGTAATAATTAGTAGAAGAATATTGTGATCATTCAGTTCAAAACTAAATACATATTCTAATCACAACTGTAATCTGAAGTAAGAAACAGTTTATTGTGTTGAATAATATAAAACCAGTGTTGATTTTCCTTATTGCACTAAATTTTAAAACCTGAATTGGTAGGAGATAATACCACAAATTAAATAAATAAAAATTTGAGAGAATCAAGGCTTAGATGTTGAGGCAGTTAAAAACTAACTCATTGCTGTGATAGTTTAGATAATAAGAACAAGTCATCTTATTGAAATAGAATTGCCCTGTTTGTGATAAATCTAAGGCCCTAGTGATATTTGATAAGTGGGGTTATTATAGCTAATCATATTTTGGAAGAGTACTATCCTGGCCAATTTTTCAACCTATTCTGAATTTTTACCCTTCAAATAATTTTCACGAAAATTACGAACAACTCCATATCTTTGAAATTTTCCTCATGTGAGCAATGGTGAGAATCTTTTAAAGTATATGTTTGAAGTATAGCCTTTCAAGTATATTTGCCTCATATACTTTAATTTTTTTTTAATGATTCGTAGAGTGAATTTTATAATAAGATATGGGCACTGTGTTGTCCTAACTTATTATTTCTTTTTAAGGCATACCTTTTTTTTTTTTTTGGTATTGGTAATGTGTGGTGCTTGTCTACACATTCTTGACACAAGCAATAGGGTTATATCATAGAATTAGACAAAGCTAATTGGCCAATCTATAGAATTTAGCACCCCGTTTCAGGTCCCTTATCCCAGTGGTCTTCACAGTGAGTCAGGCCACCCATTGAAATACAGGAAGAAAACATCATAACTTCTGAGGTTTTTTTAACATATATATATTTTAATTTTTCATTTCATACATATGTATTTCTATTTTGTATGTTTTATAATGTATATAACATTAGTAATATAGTACATACCCCCTTTAAAAATAACTAACTACACATGTTGCTGCATGATTACATATTTATCGATAGAAGTACTTAGTCAAAATAACTTGAAGACCACAGTTTCTAACAAAGTAGCTAATCCTCGAGAGTGGACGCTAAGGGGAGAATATGTGCTCTTTTGAAAGTGATAGGCAAAGATCCAGTGATTAAAAATATAATAAAAGTTAGTAAATATAGATTAGAATATCATATTATGCAGATCAAGGGGCACATTTTAAAATATAAAAATTGTCCCTGTTGTTTGTTTACCAGTAATAGTTTTTACAGTTACCAGTTTTAGTAGCTATAGGTAGATATATAGAACTTTTTAAATAGTTTGGAGCAATTTAAGTTTAGGCGCTAGCTCTTCATACATAATGGCTTTTCATTTTCTGGTTATAGCTGACCCTTATGTAGGCCTTTTTTATTTAGTGGCGAATTGCTGTAAATGTTGGCTCTATTTTTCAAGGAATAATCTGTTTCTTATGTTTCTTTCTGGTGGAGGGAATGTAAAGTAACTTTTTAAAATTTTAAACACATTATTATAAATCAGATTATGAGAGATGTTAATTTTCTGTGTTTCCCAAAGTTGCTAAAATTTGTGGGTATTGCTTTTATAGCCAGAAAAAATATTTAAAATAATTAATAGAAATAACTTCTAGTTGTAGAACTAAAAACAATCTACATAGCTTACAAAATTACCTATGATGGGGGAAGGAGGTAAGAATAGAGAAGAAGAAACGAACAGTAGAAAGAAAACAAGTAGCAGGGAAGCATTACAAAATAGGAAGAAAAAATTACATGACAAGTTAAATCAAATTTGTTATAACAAGAAACATAAGTGGGATAAATTTACCTTTTACAAGAAGGAGGCTTACTACAAAGTTTTTTCAAAAAGCCTAATTATATACTGTATACAAGAAACACACATAAACAGAATGATTCAAAGAAAGTGAAAATGAAAGAATAAGTATACCAGGCAAATTATAATAGAAAGAAAGCAAAAGAAGATCATAATGTTCAATTTGACAGACTTTAAAAGTAAAGAGTAGTAAATGGAACAGATTATGATGGTGAGGCATGTAAGCTGTAATGATGATGTCATGGATCAGTATGTACCAAATCATACATAATTAAAATATAAATGATAAAAACTTGCAAGAAATAAAGAGAATTGTTAGATCTCAATAGTAGTTTAGAAATTTTAGAGTACTTCTCTAAATCTGTGACAGATGAAGCTGATAATTATATTATTCCTATATTCTGTATCTTTATTTCAGTCAGTGTACAAGACAAAGCACTATGTATTCTGAAAACAGAAAATATATCGTCTCCAAGACTCATGAAATGTTTATAAAAATTGACCATATTTTTGGTCACAAAGAAAATTTCAGGTAATTCCAAAGAGTAGAAATAGGTCATCCTAGATTCTGTGCCTACAGTGAAATAAAATTAGAGCTAAGTGATAAAGATAGGGAGGAAATTTGGTAATTTTCAGATCTTCTCTAACACTGTTGGGTCAAAGAAGAAATCAAAACTGCAGGTGTGGGCCGGCCCCGTGGTTTAGCGGTTAAGTGCACGCGCTCCGCTACTGGCGGCCTGAGTTCGGATCCCGGGCGTGCACCGCTTCTCCAGCCATGCTGAGTCTGCGTCCCACATACAGCAACTAGAAGAATGTGCAACTACGACAACTATCTACTGGGGCTTTGGGGAAAGAGAAATAAATAAAATTATTAAAAAAAAACTGCAGTTGTAAGATATATAAATAATATGATAACATCAGAGTATACTGTATTTTCTTTTGTTTTCTGGTAGAAAATGCTAATTATATATTCTGGTTTCAGGAAGATAGTTAAAGGACAGCATTCAATAACAAATGTTTCTTGACCTTGTGTCACGTGCAAGGCATTTTGTTTGATGTGAGATATAACTGAATAAGACAGCCTCGGAGCTTTTAATCCACTGGATTTTGTTATAGAATGTACATCAGTAGTAAATTATTTGGGATATATATATGAAAAATCCTGTATATATGATTTATATCATAAATGTATGTATGAAAAGGAGTTCAGTATGATCATTTTAATTTTCAACAGAGGTACCTATGGTACCCATATGGAGAGGAGAAGTAGATTGTTATAGTAGATTGATTGAACCGTGTCTGGAGATCTTGGTTCCTTTTTTGCCTCTGTTGCCTGTTAGTAGTTCTGTTTCATTGGACAATTCATTTTTATCCCTCTGGGCTTAAAATTCTTCATCCATAAATGAGGAAGTTGAGTTAAAATATAAGGTTCTTTATAACCATTATTTTTCTATCGCTGTGAATAAATTTGTTAAATTAGTATTGAGCATCCATTCCTTTTCAGTCTATAGGGACTAAACTTATGCTCTGGTGGGGGAGAGAGACAAACTTAGGGTTCCTTGCAAGCAGAGAAGGGCACGTATATTTTAAAGAGAAGGACAGAAATGGGGAAAGAAGGGCATCTGGAAGATAAGGCTTTGTCAAGTGAACACGGAAGGAGAGCTAGGCTCAGGAAATAACAGAATGTATAGAGGCAGAGAAGGGAGTGTTTTACATTTGGGAAACTGCAATTAGTGTGGCACTTAGAAGTTAGCATGGGCTTATGAAGGAGTAACAAGACATTAAGCATGGAGGCATATGGGAGCCAAATTGTGAAAAATAGGAGCTTTAAGTTAAAGACAATGAGTAATCATGGATGGTTTCATAGAATCTCTGACTACCCTGAAAGTATATGCAAGATTTAATATGTGAATGTATTTTCCTTTGAAGAGGCTCTGTAAATTTCATATAAGAGGGCAGTTAGGGTAAGTATATATTATAGGGAAAATTGACATGGTGATATTCTACAAACTATGAAGTTTAAATAATTTTAAAATTTATTTGTTACCAACTAATCTGATTTTTTTTTCACTTTCTATAGTGGACAGGCCAAAATCTCAGCAAGTTCGAACCTCTAGTACGATAAGACGAACCTCTTCTTTGGATACGATAACAGGACCTTACCTCACAGGACAGTGGCCACGGGATCCTCATGTTCATTACCCTTCATGCATGAAAGATAAAGCTACTCAGGTAAAATAAGCAAATCAATTTTGCTCTACAATTCTGTTTCAATCGCAATAAATAAAATGTAATTTAATCAAAATTTCCCAAATTTGAAATATAATATGTTTAACCAAAGAAGAAAGCCATTTCTTTTAATAAACTCTAGACTAGTAGTTTCTTGTCATTGGGGTTTTAAAAATTCTTTTAATATTTAATAAACAGCACATCAATCTATATTATACAGTTTTTGAGACTTAGTTTTAATAATTGTTTTCCAATACAAATTACTATAATGACTAGTAACTATATTAGAAAATATAAGTAATTTTTGAAGAAAAATTTGCACAGTTCTTGGAAATAATTATAAAGTATTAGCACATGGCTAAGGAAATTTATGTTACAGGATTTTTTTTTCTGTTTAAAGACAAGATTAAAAACCTTGGCAAGAAATAGAAAATTTACTGTTTGTCACACTTTCCCTATTTGTGGAAGGTTCCCCAAGTTTTTTTTTTTTTGTGAGGGAGATGGGCCCTGAGCTAACATCTGCCAAATCTCCTCTTTTTGCTGAGGAAGACTGGCCCTGGGCTAACACCCATGCCCATCTTCCTCCACTTTATATGGGACGCCGCCACAGCATGGCTTGCCAAGTGATGTGTCGGTGCGTGCCCGGGATCCAAACTGGTACACCCCAGGCCGCTGCAGCGGAGAGCGCATGCTTAACTGCTTGTGCCACCAGGCCAGCCCCCCCAAGCTTTTGATTGAAAAAGCTTTTCCTTCCATGTCACAAGAAAATCTGACAACATCTTAATTTATGATTTCTAAGTTCTTGATCATATCTTCATAATAGTAGTCAATCAGGATTATGAAGAATACTAATAAAAGTATAGGAGATGGTTCTTGGCCTTAAAGTTAGGAAGATAAGATGTAAATTTTTGAAAATTGGTAATAGAAGATAGTATATAATTAGGTGTTAGTTGAGTGGGGTATTTAAATGTGAGGGAAATCAAAGGAATGAGAACATTTTGGGCTTTGTAGATTGGGAAATAGAAGGATTAGAGTTTCATGTCTGAAGAACGAGAGGAAAGAAAAAGGGGAGAAAATTTTGGGCATGATCTATGAGAATCTTCTCAATTTTTGTAATTTTCTCAGACCAGCTTCAAACTGAGAAATTAGCTTATCATCCATCCTATCAATTCTGCCTTTGTAATATCTTATTTCACCCCTAGTCTTTTACTTTCCATTCTTCATTTTGTGAGGAAAAGGGTCAGTTTGATATGATAGATAGCGGGATTCTCAAGTAGAAATTACTAGCAAAACTTAGAGATGTGGGCCTGGACACTTAGAAATGGACACAGATAATTCAAAAACATCTTTCTGGAGGAGCTGGGTTCTCAAGTGTGATCAAGTGTAGGTATAGAGTATAAAGAAAGAAGGTCAAGGGACCAAGGACTTAGTTTTCGGAAATCCACACAAGGTAAAGAGAACAAACTAGTGTATTCACTTAGAAGCAACAAGAAGAGGAAGGAGTTAACATTTAATGACTATGTACCATGTGCTGTGTGTTTTATATCTTGTGTTTCCTTTAATTCTTGCAAGAACATTGTTACACAGATAGGGAAGCAGAAACTCAGGGAAGTTAAGTGACTCAGGATCGTAAAGCTAGAAAGTGTTGGAGCCAGGCTTCTAATACAGGTTAATTTGTCAACCAATCTGAGCTTCAGTTCTATGGTGCTGTTAGGATAAATGGAATAGTGTGCATGAGTGTGTGTATCATCTAGTAGAGTAACTGACACTGTACTTAAAAGTGGTAGCTATTCTTTTTAGATTAAATTTTAAAAATCTACCTTTTATTCAATATAAACTTTGTGCTGACACTATCCAGAAACATCATCTTATTCATCCTTCATAAAAACTCTGAGAAAGAGGAGGAGCCAAAGAAAGAGCAAAACCTAAGAGAAGAACTGAAGTAGTCTAGCCTTAGAAACCAGAGGGAAACCTGTTCTAAGAAAGGAAACCTTGTTAACACTATCGGGTGCTAAAGAGAGGTCATGGAGAATAAGGACTGGATTTAGGGATTAGGGGCACATTGTCTTGGAGAGTGTAGTATTGATGATATGGTAGAGGGGGAAACTCAGATATTTAGGAGTTAAGAGAGTGATATAAACATAGAAGAAAAGGGCACTGAGTAGGTTTCTTAAGCATGTCTATTTCTTTATCTGTGTGATGGAGTTAATGAAACCTAACTCATGATAATGTTATATGACTAAATATGATAACATTTGAAAATGAATATAGCAATACACGTTAGATTATTAGTAATAGATAGAGACAGGCCCAGCCAGCCCTGGTGGTCAAGATTTGGCACTCTCACCACTGTGGTCAGGGTTCATTTCCAGGCAGGGAACCACATCTGTGGGTCGTCATACTGTGGCAGTTACATGTTGCTGTGATGCTCAAAGCTATGCCACCAATATTTCAAATACGAGCAGGGTCACCCATGGACGGCTTTCAGTGGAGCTTCCAGACTAGACATACTAGGAAGAAGGACCTGGGCACCCACTTCTGAAAAAAATTGGCCATGAAAACCCTATGGATAGCAGCAGAGCATTGTCTGATACAGCGCCGGAAGGTGAGAAGAGGGGGCAAAAAGACCAGGCAGGGTTCCACTCTGCTGTGCGTGGGGTCGCTAAGAGTCAGATTTGACTCAGAGGCACTAAAAACTAACAACAAATAGGCCCATTTGTAACGTTTGCAGGGTCTGAAGCAATTATAAATGAAGATCCACATACTATGTAAGTTAAATTAACAGTGTTACATAAAATATATTTTATCCTTCCGCTTTGACAAATAAACCTTCTTATGGACCTTGAAGTTCAGGTTTGAACTAGGAATTCCTGGATTCCTCAGAGTTACATGCCAGAATGTGTCTGCATAGGCCAAGCCTACCCCACCTTCTGAGCGTAAACCTGTATCTCTTCCTACCCCGCACACCATTCTGTACTCTGAAGGGTGGCTTTACACATATGTTTGAACCCCCCAGTCATCACGTTTATGCTCCATCCATACTCCCTCAGGAAGTGAGACCCAGGGAATAGGTCCTTGCAGACCTGGAAGCCAAGCACGCTGCTGTTTGGGCAAGAAATCCCTGGGTCTAGAATTCCCAGAGCGTAATCTATGGCAGAGATGTGGGCTCATGGTGTGCACGTCTTTTTGGCCCCAAGGTCCATTCACCCTGTGTGGAGGCACGTGGCTGGAAGAGGGCCAGAGCAGTTCCCCCTAAAGCTTGAGGTCCAGGGTAGAGGCTTCTCTTGCTTGGGTCTTACATGTAGGTCGTTTATTTGAGAAACGGCATTGAAAGGAAGGCAAAAATATAGGCCTCGTATTAAGGAAGTTAAGTATTTTGTACATAGTTATATAGCTAATAAATATGAAGAGATTTGAACCCAGTTTTGGCTGATTCCAAAGCTTTTGCTTTTTCTCTAGTTCCCCACTGCCTCTCATAGTAACCACTAAAGCATATAGCATTTAACCTAGTGCTTGCCTCACAAGCATAAGAAATGGTCTTGCCCCAAGCATCTATTAGTTTAATTGAAGATACAAGAGATGAATATATAAGATGGTTTTTAGTGTCTCGTCCATTCCCCCCAGATTAACTCTTCAACTCTTGGAGAGGAAAGTAGAAGTTTTTGTTTATTTAGTGAGTGTTAGTGGAGTAAAGAGGCCACAGCCAGCTTGCTATATATATTAAATACCTAGGCTGTCTGGTTTTGGTGGAGGGTATCTCTATCTAGTATTTTCTTCCTTTCATATTTCTGTATTTCAACTACCTTAATTATTGAGGGTTAGAAATAAAATTCTTAATGTTTAATATGTTAACACTTGAGGCCTTTTTAAAAGAAGTAGCAAAGGTGCCAGCCCGGTGGTGTAGTGGTTAAGTTTATGTGCTCTGCTTCGCCAGACCGGGGTTTGCAGGTTTGGATCCTGGGCATGGACCTACACAACGCTCATCAAGCCATGCTGTGGCGGTGACCCACATACAAAATAGAGGAAGATGGGCACAGATGTTAGCTCAGGGCTACTCTTCCTCATCAAAAAGAGGAAGATTGGCCACAGTTGTTAGCTCAAGGCCAGTCTTCCTCACTGAAAAAAAAAAAAAGTAGCATAGTGTTGTGAAAAAACAATGGACTTTGGAGAGAGCTCTTGTGTTCAAATTAAGGCCCAATGTGAGGGAACTTTCTGGGATGATGGAAGTGTTATATATCTTGATAGAGATTTTGGTTACATGTTTTGAAGGTGCTTATCAGAACTTATCCAAGTGTACACTTGTGCATTTTACTATATAACTTAACTTTAAAAATATAGAATATGAACAAATTGAACTCTAATAAGATATTTAGGAGTGAAATATACTTCTGTAACTTAGTTTGAAATTAATCAAAAATAAGATCAATTGATGGATAGATATGTGATGAGGCAAATAGAGCAAAATGTTAAATACAGAATCTAAGTGTTGACTTTATGAGTACTCACTGAGAAATTTCTTCAACTGTTCTATATGTTTAAATTTTTTAAAATAAAAGGGGGAAAAAATCATTTCCCAATTAACTGCTGGGTAGTCCAGATTTCAATTTCCTTTCTATAAATTGAAGTTAATAGTACTTGATTTGAGCATGCACACATTTATTCTGAGGACCAAAAGAGACAGCTTCACATTTTTAAGGCCAATGAAGAAATGGATCATTGCCAGTTTATTAGAATAATGTATGTAGCTTAAAAGAAAAACTAAAAGCCGTTTATGGAATTTAATGTAACTTGATTACATTAGCCTTGCAGATACAACCTTTCTTAAACAAAAATTTATTACCAACTCTTAAAATTGAACTTGCAGTTACGGTTACTATATTTAGACAGTACTATTTCCTCAGTTTTTGCCCCGTAGTTTGAAGTATAAAGCTTCCTCTCTGGACAAACGTAAAATTCTGTGTGGAGTGTGTTTTTAAATGAGAAAGTAACATATACTCTTTGTA